ATGGAATACAGTGAGCTATAAAACTAAATAACCACAGATACGTCGACAAAGCGTGCAGAAACATCAACTGTATTGTAATGGCACCAATCAGGTAGAAAACGCAAAAGTGCAGCAAGACGAAGGTCAATTAACTAGTAAGAGTGTATAAGCCCCCATTAAAAGTTTGCGTTTAGTGGACAAGGCATGCAGCTGTTCGAAAACTCAGTTTTTTGCCGAGTTGGCCTATAGGAGGCATGGCCGTAGAAGTTCTAAAAACGACCTAACAAAAGGTCCATGTTTCTCTGCTACACATAGGGCATCAAAAACTAGACTTCAATTTCGCTAAATCGGCCTTTTATCACACAGTATACAACCCGCTAGAGCACGCGGTGAAAAAGAAAGACGTTCACAGCCCGATTTTATCATTTCGCTTTGCACTTTGTCAGCAGCTGCTGAATGAAGTCAAATGGTGATTTCTAAGTAGTAGTAATCTATTTAGCTCTCTAGCATACATAGCGATAAATCTCCAAAGAATCCTCTGGGGAAGTATCCATTGCTTAAAGGAAGTCCCCATGCACCGAACGAGCAACATAACATTAATGCACATTATAATCAACCTATGCGAAATAATCAACAAGGACCGACTTCCGAAGAATGAATCTACCAAAACTAACTATAATTACTTATAGCATATGCGGGAAAAGTAACGAAAAAGACGCTCTGGTGGGGAGATTAACTAAGATGAGCACCTTATTTGCGGATTTAAGTTTTTTCCAGCGCACAAGAGTGATTAAGAGAAACTAAATACATAACATCAGACAGTGCGCGTTTGGGCTTTTACCGAAGTATTTTTGTCTTGATGGCGCGGCAACGAAATAGGATGATTTTAACACACAAATAGGTTATATCCTAGTGAAGCTTATATTTAGAATTGAACATGTTGAAGATATTCGTAGAAAATAAAAAAGTCCCAAAAATCTAGTATTTAATATAGATGTTCTTTGTATATCCAATTCCTGGGTTTTACGTGGCGCGGTTCCTGCTTGGGCGTAAGCATGAAAATTGAATAAAGGGAAAACGAATAATCAAGTAAAAAGAAACGAAAGTCGAACTCGTGTAGGGGGTCAAACTAAACAAGGGAAAATATTAAAATACGAAAATGACATAAGGTGGAGCGATGCAAGAGAATAAACTGCAGACGAGATATGCAAGACGTACGTAGTGAGCGGAACTGTTCGCCTTCTAATGAAATGTCACTTAGGCACAGATAGGTACTTCAGAATGATAAATGATATCTTTATGTTTGCAGAAAAATAGTCCTAAATCTTCTTCATTCATTATTATAGGTCAGATAGTTAGATTATAAAATTGAATTATAAGGTCTTCTACGTCATGTACTTTTGGAGCTCCGGGTAACTCGTTTCATGGCACAGTAAAACGCTTCAGATACCCATCCGTGAGATTCGCTTTCTCAATCTGTACGATACTTGCGAAAAATATGTACAGTTATAGAACGAGTTGACAGTTTAACAGAAAAAAACTGCAGCTCATTGAGTAATTTTAGTTCGGGAGGGGGAGAGTTGGCACGGGGACACAGTGTTCTCCGTCTTACTTTATTGTAATGGGTTCGAGTGTATGCACCAGCGGAATGTTTGTCTGCCAACAGTTGCTCGCTGTCGGCTGAAGATTTAGCCTATTGCGGGCCGCAAATTTAGCACCATTATCCTCAGCACGAGGCCCGGCAGGGTTCAAAGTCCACGAACGCCATCAGAGATTCCACGGAGTCAGCACCCAAAATTCGTGAAAGTTTTCCTGAATGTAGAAAACTAGTAGTAGCTCTCTTAAACAAAGGAAAACGTGCATTTGAAAATGTGTTTGAAATATTAGCAGTGTTAGTGTTAGATTTACCAGGAGTATTCTTATGTCTACCTGGTTTTACAGCTATCACAGGCGTGGTTGGCTTAGAAAGGGAACGATTTGGCGTTGCCTCAGTTTCCATCGAATCATTAATAAGACGAGCGAGTGAAAATTCGGGTTTAATTGCCGTTTTGCTACCCCCGGACAAAGTAACAACAAAGATTTCGAAGTACAAATCTGAGAAAGATTCTATCGACATTGTAATGATAGCACTTTCTTCGAATTTAGGTTTTCCCTTTTGTCCACTTCAACTTGCCCTTCTTTAGAAATTCTAACGTGGGCATTTTCACCTGTTGTAGCTGCTTAAGTATTAGCAGTAATGACATTCCTGAATTTTGCAGCTGACTTACTTTTCACCAGGGCTATTCTTAAGTTTTACAGCTATCACAGGGGTGGTTGGCTTAGAAGGGGAACAACTTTGCGTTGCCAGGATTTTACCCTAATCAGGAGTAAGGTGAACGGATAAAGATTCGAGTGAAATTTCCGCTGATCCAGATGGACGTAGGCTTACGTTAGCGAGACGAGCAACCTCAGAGACAACTTTTGCTATTGTCGACGTAGGGCTAGATTCCTGATCTGCTAATGTGGGTAGAACCCGACGTTCCATTTGAGCCTTATCTTTATATACGAAACGTTTATTTTGATTTAAGTATTGAGCTGAGCGCTCATGCCTAGAGAAAATAATCTCTACTTCTACCGCTGAAAAACGTTTGACGAGGATCGCGGGTTTTTATTCCACGATGCCGATCTTTT